TTGTTTTACAGTCCTATCACTCCAACCTCTGTCTTTTGGTCACTTTTCCATCTCTCCCTCTCTTTCTCTCTGTAGGTCTCTCTCTCTCTCTTTCTCTCTTGCCTATGAGATCTTTCTCAGTTGCCCTCTGACAGGACACCTGCAATTGAATTTTGGGCTTGGTAAGCTGGGCTAAATTCTCTATTTTAAGATCTTTAAAGTGATCACATCTACAAACTTACCTTTTTTCTTTTTGGATATATAAGAACACATTCATAGGTTCTGAGGGTTAGGCCATTGTGGATTTATTTTGGATAGAAAAATAGTAGTCACTAATAATATGTGGCCATTTAGCACTTGAAATGTGGCTTGTGTGCTCCAAGTGTAAAATACACACTAGGTATTTTGAAAACTGATTCCAAAAAAAAGCTATAAAGTACCTTGATTTTTATGTAGATTAGATGTTGAAGTAATAACATTTTGGATGTATCAGGTTAAATAAAATGTATTATTAAAATTAAATTCACTTTTAAATCTTTAATTTTTATTTGTTTGAAAAGAAGAGCTAGAGAGAGAAAGCAAATGAGGGAGAGCGAGCGAGAGAGAGAGAGAGAGAGAGAGCCTTCCATCCATTGGTTCACTCTCCAAATGGCTGCAATGGCTGGGGCTGGGTCAGGGTGAAGCCAGGAGGCTGGAGCTTCCTTTGATCTCCCACACAGGTGTAGGGCTCCAAGCACATGAACCATCTTCTGCTGCTTCCCCAGAAATATTAGCAGGAAGCTGGTTTAGAAATGGAATAGTGAGGACTCGGCATCCATATGGATGTTGGTGCTGCTATAATAGCTTAACCTGTTATGCATCAGTACTGGTTCCACTTTTTAACTTTTTAGATGAAACTACCAGAAATATTATATGCGACTTGCATTTATGGTTCGTGTTATATTTCTACTGGATATTACTGTGACATGGCGGGAATTCTAGAGACCTCAATACCCAGATTGTATCTTAGACTTCTTCAGTTTCTGAGAAGAAGCCCAGGCTAAGCATGTTTCAGTCTTCCCACGTAGTTTCAACACACAGCCATTGAAAATCCATAAAGTGGAGAACTGGAGAAGGTGCCACTGAAGGGGCTAAGACAGAGGGGTTGCATTTGCTAACAACTCCATTGCTAATGCTGCACATTGCTCATGCTGAACCGGCATGTGTACTTCACACAGACGCTTGGTCTCTGGAGATGGGGTAGTTGCAGGTTAAATGTCTTCAGACTGGCTGGGGTGGCTGAATATGTGGCCCTGATAAAGACACAAGAGCTGCCCTGGTTGAATTCTCCTCCCAGAGGACAGAAGATTGAGTGGATGGGAGATGCTGATTGACACTTCATTAGAAAAGTGGTACACCATTATCTGCACCCCAATTCCATTAGTAAAAAAAAAAATCATATGGCCAAGCCCAATGCCCCTGGGTGCCCCTGGGAATAGGTAGAGGTAAACCGCTTCTTCAAAAGAAAGCTGCTGTAACAATCATGAGCAACCATCCCATCTCTCTTAAAGTTGACATAGCTTGACTTGACTTGCATAAGGCAGTCCACTTGTGCAATGGAAAGCAGATAAAATGCTGGGTTCAGAAACACCAGTGAGAAGGACCAGGGGAGACTTAGTGAAAATCCAGGCTGGAAATAGTTGGCTGGCATGAGACAAAGTTGAATCAAGTCATCATATGACATTAACTAACAGAATGTAATGACTTAGGGCCCTTTGTGGCTAGCTTTGCAAATATCCAATTTCCTATGTCCAGGTTTGCATAAAGAACTCTGTTACCAATGTATATTTTTATCTTTTTAAAAACAACTCTGATTTGACTTATGACATTAATATGTACAACTTAATAAAAGGCTATAGCTTTCCTTGTAGCTGGTACCGGTCATCAGGCATCCTTTGCCTTTTAAGATAGAAATGGGATTCAGTAGGCCCTATTCCCAAGATATTGTTTAAAGAGATACATGTCATTTTGCCATTTCCTCTTATCTTCTTGCCTTAAATGCAGATCAGTTACTAGAGCTCCAGCAGGAATCTGGTGGACATGAGGCAGCCATGTCTAAAATGACTGAGCAGAGAGAGAACCATAAATCTTTGATGACAATGTGAAATGTTTTAGTAGTCCTCAATTGCCTATACTTTGAATACCAGTTATGAGAGAGAAAATAAATGAATCTTTGTTTCCAACAGCCTTATGAAGTTCATAAATGATACCATGCCTGACCTTAGCAACACAAAGCAACATTATTCATGTGATCATCACTCTGGATCAGGACCAAAATTAGAAACACTAAAACCTCATCCCAGTGATTCAGCACAACAGTAAGCAGCTGCTGGTATATGATGGTATGGAGACTTTCTTTCTTTTTGGTTCCTATTCCTTTCCCTCCCAACAAAATTCAGTCTCGCTCTCAGCCTTCACTCTGACATCTAATATATACTTGGGTATTACAGGCAGTCAATAGAGAAGGGGGCTGGCTGATGTCACTTTCCAACAGACCCCTGGGAAAACACACCTGTGGGGAAGGAAATAAACACAGACAGTGGCTCCGGTTCCAGATGAGGGGCTACCCAGATGTGATAGCAGCAGCAATACAATTGCACTATGCGAGGGTGACTCAACAGAGCACCTCCTGTACCCCACATCGTGAGCGGTGTAAGCGCCAGGGAGGTGGGACGATTTGTTCAAGGTCAGGAACAAACAAGAAACAGACAGGAATCATATTTTCCTGACTTTCTCTGCCCAAACTGTCTTTAGGAACTGTCCTTAGGAAGAGACCCATCGCGACAACAGGGAAGAGAAAGTGTCAAACAAAAACTGCATCCAACTGGCTAGGATACGTTAGTCTCATGGGAGACAGACTGAACCTACCCCATTGCAGTCAAAGGCAGGGAGGCTGTCAAGGGCTAAGGTGGGCTGCTGGAACAGGACTGCTGGTCACTGGGCTGTGGAGTTGGTCCACGACGAGGCCACCTGTGTTAGCCAGTTGTCACTTTGTCCAGTTAGTCTCCGATCCACCAAAAAATCCTGCGAGTTAGAGGCAACATCTTTGACCACATCATTTCCGAGAGAAGCCTCCTGGTTCCCAAAAAAAGACCTTCATGTTTGTAAAGTCTGCAAGAAGCTGAGAGATTTACATCATAAGGCATCGGACGAAGAATTTACAAGTGCAACTTTGCTACAGTGCATGTTCTAAGACAAGGAAGGTCGGGTACGCAGAGTTAAGAGGAAATCCGTGTAAAGCTCAGTCAAGCTAATGGAATGTTAAAGCTATGTGGGTTCCAAGGCATCGTGCCACATCCTTTTGTCTCTCATTCTCAGAGTCCCTGTGATCAAGCTTGAACAGGTGGAATTGTATCAGAGGACCGGTCCTGGCCAGCCACTGGAGGGAGTGCGATTTAGAACCTCCTTCTGTCAGACAGATGACTCTTCTGACAGGCTCACTGCAGTCGGGGTTAGGTAAGTAGAAGCTTGCATTTTTCCAGCTTTGTCCCCATCCCTAAAACAACAAGCCCAGGGCCCACTGGATCCACTTCAAGCAGAAATCATGTTTTCAGCTGGCCAGGGGCTGTCTTACCCATCCTCACGAAGTGTGTCACCCAAAGGTAGGACTCAGAGGTCTCTGCAGTGCTTTGGGCCAGAATTATCATCAGTAAAAGATGACCCTGTGAACACATGGCAGCCCGCAGCCCGGTGGAAAGCGGAAATGTCCTTAGCAGGCATTTCAGCTTGCCTAACGGGGCCCTATTTTGCTTGGAGCAGAGGTTAACTGGGTTGACCTGAAAATCCAGGGCTTGGAAAGCAGATGAAGGCATTCGATTTCTTCCTAAAGGCTTTGAGGCTTGCAAACAAAACGGAAACAGCTTCAGTACCTGCCCCCAGTAGCTTTTTCACATAGTAGTGGAATTTTAGAACAGACAAAAGCCTGGGTGGAGGTCTGTCCCCCGGATGCGGCAGTGACCCAAAGCCTGTCTTGTCTTCTTCGGTACATTTTGTCAAACTCACAACCCTCCCTGGATTTGGCCAGCAACCTTCCTCCTCTCTGCAAAGTGTTTATGCTTCAGATCTTGCTATTCCAAGCACAGACCCCTCTATTCCAAGCACTTGTTTGGGAGCTGCTGTATGTCCTGCCTGGTGACAAAACCAGGGAGCAGAGGAAGGAGCTCCTTCGGCCACACGGTGGCGCGCGCCAGTCTCCCAAGGCCGGGTGGCCACAGAGCCGCACCTTTCCGCCACCTTCGAGCCCCACCGGCGCCCAGGCGCTGGAGGAGCCGCGCCCCCAGCCCTCCGGTGCCGGCTAGAGGCGAGCGCGCCTCCCGGGGTCGGGCCACGGTGGAGCCGCTGCCTCCGCCGGCGCTGCAGGGAGGTGCCCCCGGCGGTGGGCGACCCTGGTTCTTGGCTCCTCCTCCTCTGCTCTCCCACCCTTCACCCGTCTCGGTTCTGCAAATCGAAGGCTTTCCGGGAGCAGCCACGGAGCGGCGGCGCCGGCGGGGGCAGCGAAGGCGGCTGGACGCGCGCAGCCGGCTGGCCTCGCACCTCCTTCGGGCAGCCTCCGAGCTGCTGGGCAGGCGCTATGGAGCCGGGCGAGTCTTAGGGGGATAACTGTGGGGGAGAAACCGGGGGGCTGCAGCTGGGCAAAGGGAAGAAAGTGCGTGCACCTGTGCATGAGAGAGAGAGGAGAGAGAGATCGCTTGAGGGAGCAAACGCGGAGGCCGACAGTCTCCAATTAGGGGCAGGCCTTCGGGGCTCAAGCTTCGCCTCCTCCCCGACCCCCAGCGTCCCTAAGCAGTTCCGGGGGTTTTCCTGCCGCGGCTCCGGTTCGCCGGTGTCCCGCACCATGGACTTGCGTGGAGTTGGCACTGGCCTCGGCAGCAGCGTGCGGGTGGCTGCTCGACCCTGGGGTTGCGCGGGCTCTCCAACGGTGATGTCGCGGTAGGATGGGCGTCCAGCGCGACCCCCGCCGCCCCAACCTAGCGGCCCCCGGGCGGTGTCGCTGACTCGCCGGAGTGCCCCAGGGTGGGCGGAGGCAACCCCGCCGCAACCGCGCCTTCGCGAGTTGCTCTGCCTCTTCAATCCACTCGCACCTGCAACCACTCTGATACCATGTCGAAAGCAGCCGGCGGCGCAGCGGCGGCGGGGACCGCAGCGGAAAGTTGTCCGCCGGCCTTGGCCGGCTCGACCGCGGCTGCAGCCGTGGAGGACCTGTCCAAGGTGTCGGACGAGGAGCTGCTGCAATGGAGCAAGGAGGAGCTGATCCGCAGCCTGCGGCGCGCAGAGGCGGAGAAGGTGAGCGCGATGCTGGACCACAGCAACCTCATCCGCGAGGTGAACCGCCGCTTGCAGCTGCACCTCGGCGAGATCCGCGGGCTCAAGGTGAGCGCAGGCCTGGCTGACTTTCCCCCCTGCCCCTTCCCATCAACAGGTGATCCGCCCCCCTTCTCCCAGGCAGCACCCCTGGGGACCCCGTCCCATCCGTCTGGAAACTTTTCTAAACTTTGGAGGCCTTTGCTCCCCTGCTTTTCCCTTTATGGGACGGCCGCCCTGGCGCCCAGTCTCATTCGGGGAGCCTCTGCGGCGGGAGGCTCGGGCACCAGGGCTGCTGGAAGGCAAGCAGAATCTCGAATTTCCCCGGGAAAACACGGACTTGGGGAGCTGGCCGATGGCGCTTCAAGGGGAAAGGCGGGCAAGGACATGAGGCCGGGGCACTGGGATCCTCGCGGCTCGGGGACGACTGCACTGCCCCCCAGAGTCTCTCCTTTAGGCAGAGGGCAAGGGAAGGGCACCACTGCAGGGTAGAAGGGCTGGCTGGGCGCCCGGAGAAAAGCCGCGGACGCCACCCTTGGGGCCTGGCCTCTGTCATCCCGCACTGAGGCACTTAAAAGCCCCTGCTTTCCAGTGTTCTCTGGGCCGCTGTGCTTTCCTTCTTTCTCGGCGTTGCCTGGAGTCACCCTCCTCTCTGCTCCAATTCTCCTCCAGCTTGATTTAAAATTTTCTCCACCTTGGAGTAGGGGAGGGGAAGGGGTGGAGGCCAAGGGAGTCCTTGTGGAAGGCGCAGGCTTTGGGAAAGAGACCCGCCTCCCAAGTGCCCATCAGTTGAAGATTGCCTTTAGAGCCAGCCCTGTGCTCCTAGGAGAGGGGGGGATCCTCCAAGCCCAGTAAGTTTCTGTTCTCCAGGGATAGCCTGGGACACTAACGGCGTGCTAGGCAGGCTGCAGCAGGCTGGTGGCAGGGAACCGCCCTGCCGGCTGCGTACACGGCTCACTTCCTCTCTTTTCAGCTTGCTTGAGTGCCTTCTGGTATTCCTTCCTCTCATTGTTTTGCTTTTGTTTATAGGAAGCCAGGCACAAATGAAATCGCAGGCAGGGAACTCAAGGAGCCCATTCCCTCAGGCACAAGCTGTTCCAGTCCCCTTTCCCACCTGGCTGCTCAGTCAGCCACACTGTTCTATAATCCTCTGAGCTCAGGCTCTGGGACTCTGGGGAGGGGGAACATCTGGGTCCGGTCTGGGGACGAGGTGCTCCCCGTAGGTCCAAACTCACTGTCACATTAAGTCCCTAGAGGGGGTGAGGTAGTCCCAGGACCGCTTTCCCCACTGGCTTAATTCATCACTAACGGAGTATTTATTGAGTCCCAGGGTCTTTGGGGAATAGAGGCAGGCTAATATAGTTGGCAGCTCATCTCAGAGAGCTGCGCATGGAATTCTCACTTGCTGGGAAGGTGAGTTTGGGCTTTGGTTAATTGGGTTCTCGGACCCTCCTCTTATTCATTGACAGCGTGTGAATGATAACCATTTCCTAGGGCATTGTGACAGTAAAGCACAGCAATGTAGAGGAAGGCTTAATATCGCACTTGACTATGCAAAATGGTAGTTTTCATCATAAAGAGATGACATAAAAATGTGCAGCTGTATGTCTCCAGGATGTAGGCTTCTTAGGCAAAGCTGAATAATGGTGTTAGTTTGAAACCCTCTAATTTAATCTTTTTGTTTGGCTTGAACCATAATGTGCTTGGAAGTTTTACATTAGTTAATTGATTTCCTGAAGACATGGAACACTGACTTAATAGCTCAGAAATACCTGAGTGCTTTTGGGGCTGTGTGGATGGACTATATGTGCATGGGTCTGTGTGTGTGTGTATGTGTGTGTGGAGAGGGTTAGCATGTTAGTGACATGTCTGGTTTTTATTCCAGTAACTTCATTTAGAGAAATAATTTTGAGGCCATTTGGGTGATTACAGCCATGTGGGAAAGTGTCCTTGTGATTTTGATTCATGACTTGGGGTTAAAAGAATTTTTTATTCAGAAGTTCTGGGGACTGGTTACTTTGCGACATAGTCTGTACTTCCCATTTCTTGCCATCCCTGGCCAGTTACAAGTTTACTCCCAGTCTCTGGCCCATTTCGGCTGCTGATAGAGCTCTCAAGCTCTGTCTTGGCATTCCTTTGACGTAACAGTCCAGACCCCACTCAGGATGCCGTATCTCAGAATGCCTGAGTTCAAGTCTTGGCTCCACTTCTGATTTGAGCATTATGCTAATGCACACCTTGGGAATAGGTGATGATTCATTACTTGGATCCTTGCCACCCATGCTGGAGATCTGGATTGATTTCCCTGCTGCTGGATGCCCTGGCCGAGCCCTAGATAGTGTGGGCCTTAGAGTGAATCAGCTAATGGGAGATTGCTCTTTCAGTCACTCAGTGCATCTCTGTCGAGAGGCCATCCTTCCTCCCCCGACCTCCTTATATTGTTATGAGCTTTTTTGAACATCACGGGGATCATAAATGAGACCAACTTGATAAATCACAGATACCTTTATTTATGTGAATCTAGCTGGAAGATTGGGATTCTATCATTTGGCCTCTGAATGGTTAAGCTAAATACTGTAAACACAGGGCAGTTAAGGCCACTCAACTTTTATCCTATCTGTTATTTTATTCTCTTTTGAGGATGTGTGGCTGGGTCCCAACTCTGGCACACTAGTTTGTGTTCAGACATTAGGAAGGCAGGGTCATGTGACAACAGGACAGAGACAAAAGTTGGCTTGGGAAAACTCAACCTGAGCCTCAGCGTTCTCATTTATCAATGGGGATTTTATTCTCCCTTGAGATTTGATGAGGGTTTGATGCCTAGATGAAGAACTTCTGTGAGGCGACATGCCTTTCTCAAGGTCACCCAGGTACGAAGTGTTCACCATTGGCTGACTTTCTTTTGGTGGTTGATCCAGGTTCCTGGTCTATAGTGAGTGCTCCTTCAGCAGGTATTAAGGGGAGATTTGAGTGTGGGTTCCATGTGTCTGGACTGCTGAGAATATCTCTGCAACTCCTACTGGGAGTCCTGCACCGGTCCATTTAAAAGAGCTGAATCTGTCCATTCTCCAATGCATTAATGTTCCTCCTTGCTCCCTAGTACAGTAACCATTGCCCTGCAGGGAAGGGAAAAGACAAACTAAAGCAATGATTCTTTAGCTTGCTTTAATGTGCAGTGATAAGCTTGAAATTTTGGGTGATGGTCTGTGAAGTGGACTTAATTTTTAAATAATGACTTTAGACTGTTGGGTGTTATTCAATGGCTTGTAACCATGTTAAGTGGACATATACTATTTTGAAAAAAGAGATTTTAAATCTGATTTTTAATACTGAAATGCAGAGAGAGAGAGAGTCAGTCTTCCTTCTGCTGATTCACTTCCCCAAAGACCATAACACCCAGGCTAAAGCCAGGAGCCTGGAGTTTTTTCCAAGTCTTCCACATGGTTACAGAGGCCCAAGACGGTGAGTCATGCTCTACTGCTTTCCCAAGTGCATCAACAAGGAGCTAGATAGGAAATGGAACAGTCTTACCTTGCGTTGGTGTTCATTTGGAATGCTAGCATCACAGGTGACAGTTTAACATACTATGCCACAACAATGGCCTCAAGACCCAAACCTTAGTGTATATTTGAAGGAGTTGGCTTCCCATGGTTATTAATAACCTGGTTGCTTAGTTGTTCATCAGAGGGCAAATGGAACAGATCAAAATTGGAGAGTCAATATACTCCCAGAAAAGCTAATAATAGGAACAAGGAGCTGTGAAACAGAAAACTGACTGAGATCATAGCCTCGACATTGACTCTGTCTGGGATGCTGAGACATCTATTGTACTTCCTTTGGGAAGGGTATTGGTTTCAGGAGACCCATGGAAGTATCAGTCCTATTTATTTCCTTATTCTGCAGAATTCAGGGACATCACTGAGATCATCAAAGAGAGGTATTTTAAGGTAGAAAATCATTTAGATTGAGAAGACTTAAACAGTCTATTAAGTGTCAGAATTAAAATAATTGTGGAGTATGTTTTGAAGCTATGAAAGATTAATTTGATAAGTGTATCTGCAGCCCCCAGTGTTCTCCACAACTTCAAGATCAAGTGATAACAACTTTAGACTCCATCATTCAGGAATGAGCTGAAAATAGTTATAAGAAATCCTTGATCAGTGGCCATATCTGCAGTGTTTTCATCATAGGTGCAATGCTTTAAACACATGCGAAGTGTCTGCTGTGTGCAAAAGACCATGTCATGTATGTTGCATATTGCAAAGAAGGATGATAGGGCATTTATATTATAAGGGAGAAAAAAAAATAAGACCCAAGGAATGATCTAGCTAGTATGAATTAGAGGCATGAAACTGAATAGTGAAGTAACTTCCTTTGTTTGTGAGTGCTATTCTATTGCTTGGGGAGATCCCTTGGAGGAGTCTTCATTGTGGAAGAGGGGTTATTTTCTCGTTAGAAAAAATTAGTCATATCAGGGCTAAAAGGTTATAGAAAAGAAGCTAAAAGGGATTAAGGCAGGAGGAAGCCTTCCAGGCCTCACTGAGGGGAAGATATCAAGGCTGATCCTCAAAGGGTGTTTAGGATAAATCTTGCAGAGGGATAGCCAGAAGATGGGGAGGACCATGGCAGGAAGGCAAGGTACAAAGCTCTTGGCAAAGGGTCAGGCCTGAAGATAGAAGGTGGCAGGGAGAAGCAAGAGGAGGAAGTGGGCACTAGAAACCAGAAAACTGGACTTGAAGTCCCATGCAGAGTCATCTTCTTCAGTCCTGAAAAACCCTCTCCCTGGTTATGCTTTATGATTGCCAGGTAGTGAAGGGATGGCATGGTTGGCAGGTGTCTCATAGCTCACTTTCCAGTCAATGTCAGGGAGAATGTTGCAATCGGTCTGAGTTGAAAAGAAGTTTAGTCCTCTTTTCCAGTACCTTTAGCTCTGGCTTGGATGAGGCAGGAGCGAGAGGAGAAGATTTTAGGCTTTGCAAAGGAAGAGTAGCACTGTCATGGCTGTCCTTGTGGCATTCCTAGCAAACCATGGAGCTGCAAGGCACAGTTGGCCTCTTTCTTGTATTTGGGAAGGAAGAGTAAGTGAGGCCTTCACAAGACGTTTTGAAACGTGCTTGGCTATGTATCTACAGTGGGTTGCTATGTCCTGGAGGTGAAAAGAGGTCTCCACTCTCATAACTCTAATGAGGCTGTAGGCTTGAACTTCTGGGCACACTTACGAATGTGTGGCTCACAAACTACAATAAATACCAAAGAGGGAAAATCTTGCCTTCAGAATGGCTTCTACTGGGGAGCAACCCGAAAATGAGACCTGCAGGTTTTATAGAAGGACAGATTCATGACAAGATGAAGTACATTTTGGAGGTAAAGTTCCAAAGACTTTTTGTGGCTCACTGGTAGAAGGTTAACAAGAAGAGATGACAACGATGATCCCAAGTTCTTCTCAAGAGCAATGGGATGGGAGGAAGTGGCATTTTCTGGGGTGCAATTTGAACAGGGGTATTATCCAGGGTAACATGTGTTAAGTGTGTACTGCGTGGGAGACATCTGGGTGGGCGTGAGAAGCAGAGGTTAGATGTACAGGATGACCGTGCCACTAGAGGACGATTGTGCCATTCCCTAATGGGGGGCCTGGGGGTGTTCATCCCGTGGGAGTGGCAGGGAAACCAGGCAGGGATTGTTGTTTGTTCTGGGTGCCTCAGAGCTTAGGAGCATTTCCTGTGCCTGGAAGGTGGGGCCCAGGAACCTTATTTTTCTGCTGACTGGTTTCCTGCCAGTTAACTGGCTGTTCCCCAAGTACTGACTGCTACTGTGGTGACCTTGAACAAGTGAAGTTATACAGGTTCAGTTTCCCCTTCCAAAAGAGAACCATAAACATGATCCTGCCCTGAGTGTTTTGGGAAAGAACAGATGAGCTAAAGCACATGGAATCTTGTGTTACCAAATGGCCGTTAGCTTAAATCTTATGTACAGTGACAAGCCTTCTGCCTGCTCCTTCTGCCCTCTCAACTCCTGCCTAACTTAGTGGAGGAGTCACCAGCTCCAGGATACCCTGACCAGGCAGGCAAAGCATGGTGCCAGCTCCTCCAGGTTCCTCCCTCCCATAGTTGTGTCTTTCTTTTCAGGACATCAACCAGAAACTCCAGGAGGACAACCAGGAGCTGAGGGACCTCTGCTGCTTCTTGGATGATGACCGACAGAAAGGCAAGAGGGTGTCCCGTGAGTGGCAGAGACTGGGCCGCTACACGGCTGGGGTGATGCACAAGGAAGTGGCCTTATACCTGCAGAAGTTGAAGGAGCTGGAGGTGAAGCAGGAGGAGGTAGTGAAGGAGAACATGGAGCTCAAGGAGCTCTGCGTGCTGCTGGACGAGGAGAAGGGCACGGGCTGCGCCGGCAGCCGCTGCTCCATCGACAGCCAGGCCAGCCTGTGCCAGCTGGCCGCCTCCACTGCGCCCTCGGTGCGGGATGTGGGTGATGGCAGCAGCACGTCCAGTGCAGGCAGCACGGACAGCCCCGATCACCACAAGCACCATGCTAGCAGCGGCAGCCCTGAGCATCTGCAGAAACCGCGGGGTGAGGGCAGCCCTGAGCACTCCAAGCACAGAAGCTCCAGCCCCGAGCACCTGCAGAAACCCAGGGCCCCTGGGACACCAGATCACTCCAAAGCGCTAAAAGGACCTAGCCCTGAGCACCACAAACCCTTGTGCAAGGGCAGCCCAGAACAGCAAAGGCACCCGCACCCGGGTGGCAGCCCCGAGACGCTACCCAAGCACGTGCTGAGTGGGAGCCCAGAACACTTCCAGAAGCACAGGCCGGGGGGCAGTCCGGAACATGCCCGACACAGCGGAGGGAGCCCTGAGCATCTTCAGAAACACGCCCTTGGCGGAAGCCTGGAACATCTACCTAGAGTCAGGGGTACCAGTCCTGAGCACCTCAAACAGCATTATGGGGGGAGCCCTGATCACAAACACGGAGGAGGTGGCGGTGGCGGCGGCAGCAGGGAGGGCACCCTCAGACGGCAGTCACAGGAGGACGTGTCGCCCCATCACCGGAATGTCTACAGCGGCATGAACGGTGGGTCAGTACGTGCTGGGGAACTACTAGGGCTGGGGCAGCTGGGCAGAGAGAGTCAGGAATGGCGGGGCCTTTTCAGCCACGTTAGGAAGTACAGGGGCTGTCCTGGCACTCTGGTGAGAGGTGAGGGCAGGAGCTAACCTGATGTGTGTTTCTTTGTCTTTTCCTTTTCTATATGTAGCAGTCAGGAAGCCTAGAGAAGGGGTGAATGGAGAGAAAGGAGCAGGTCCTTAGGACCCCTAGTTGTCAAGATGGACTCTGTGGGGATTGGGCCTAACAATAGAATGGAAGTGTCCTAGGACCTCACCCCACACCCCAATTACTGACTTCCAGTGTTTTCTTAGAGGTGTGCTGTTTCATATCAGGGCTTGCTTGTGAAACAGTGACCAAAAGGTTTGTGAGTTCACTTAAAAAATTAGGGGCAAGAAAAAAAGATGAATATTTATTATGAGAAACAGCGACACTTTTAAAAGAGAAGTACAGTGCCTGTAAGCAGGCTTGGTGCTGGCTTGTTTGAATGCCTTAGCTTTGACCTTGAGAATTTGAAACATTGTGTCAGGAACTATAGCACAAATCTGATTTTGCTTTGCCTGTAAGATGCATCAGATGGTTACTCTACCTAGTCATTCAGAATCCGCCAGACCCCCAGGCAGACTCCCTCAGCTCTCCTCTGGGTAGTAGGTTCCTACGTTCCTGGAACTGTCTCTCTTGTTAGGTCCCTCTTTTCCAGATGTGTTCAGACATTCTTCTGGATTTGAAAGCATTAATACCCCTTGTATCTGCTAAGGTGGTTCTAAGCCTAAGCTTTTAAGCCTGTAGGAAGAGGCTTAATTTTCTGTATCTTGGTTCTGAAACCTCTTTGAACTCATAAGAGAAAAAAAAAATCATTTCTGAAAAGAAAAACAGGAAAACCCATAATTCTTCTATGTTACCTGTTATTTGGAACTAAAATGATCGGTTTTGTAAACTATGAATTTTTCAAAATTCGAAACATCCAAGGTTTCTTGCTCTGTTTGAAAGATGCCGTGGAGTCCGCATGCAGGCAGTTCTGAGCAGTGGACAAGGAGACTGCCAATTTTAGCAGTGACACAAATGGGGGGGGGATTTTCAATATTGTACTTGGAGATTTACCTGTTGGATTCCATTTCATCCTAATCCTTTTCTCATAGTGCTGAAAATGACTCCTGCAGCTTGGCTTCTAATGCAGCCCGTCTTTTATGTGCAAATGGAACTGGGGACATACAGGAAGCTGTTGTTTTCTGGGTTGCTTGTATTGGGATGTTGAGGCAGGGAGAAGCCAGTTCCCTTCCAGAAAGAGGTCCCCTGGTGGCTGTCTCTCTCTGGCTGGCTGAACCTCCAGCATCATTTCAAGAGTGGCACAGTTGCTGCCCAGCTGCTGTGGACAGTTTTGCTTAAGTGGAGAATACCAGAGATGGGCGTAACAGCAAAAGATGCTTTGGCTTTTAGAACTACCAAGAGCTGGGATCATTGGCCCGAACACTTTTCTTCAGTTGCAATAATAGGTTAATGAGGAAGTAGAGTTAATGATTTTTCCTTTTCTTGCTTACTTTTTAAAAAGTTTGGAAGTAAATGTGTGTCCTGTTTTAGGGAAATGTTAAAAGAAAATACTTCAGGCAGGTGGTTCACTTGCAAAATGCGAAATCATTTTCTTCATGAAAGGGCTTTTATGTCTAAGAATTCCGGTTCATCCTTCAGTTTATAAAAATCTATTTCCAATTGACAAATCAATTTTATTTAGTCATGGGTACATTGTTGTGTTTTGATCTACTTATATAATATTTCTTGATTAAATCAAACCACACACTATATCCGCTACCTAGTTTACCTATCATTTTCTACAGGGAGACATTAGAAATTTACTCTCAGTTACTTTGAAGCACATAAAACATTGTTGTTGACTATTCCCTACTGCTGTGCAATGGATGTTGAAACATCCCTTCAGTCTACTGAAAGTTTGAGCAACAAGCCCCCATCTGCTCTCTCTCTGCCCAGCTTCTGGCAACCATTGTTCTCTTCTATAACTTCAACTTTATTACTTTCTACATACAAGTCAGACCAAGTGTACTTGTCTTTCTTTACTGGGTTTATTTTACTTAATATAATACCCTCTAGATTCTTCCATGCTGTTGCAAATGACAGAATTTCCTTCTTTTTTAATGGCTGACTAGTTTGAGGACTACATCTTTGGAGCTGCAAATCACAAAGCTAATCTGCATGGTTTTCAAACTGATTTTGTACCAAAATTAAGCTTTTGTTTTAATTCAGTTTCCGTGAAATGTTTGAAACGCCCATGTATACCAAATACACGTGTTGAGATCAATACATTGAACAGATACCTGCACTCCCATGTTTGAAGACTTTTCATATATGCGGCCGTGGATGTACTTAGGTCCAAGGGCTGGCAAAGCGTGAGATGCCCTCTGAATTGAGATCTCCTGAGGCTGAAGAATGAGAAAATAAACTCCATCACAATAAAAATGTTCATTAGGCATTTACATCTGGAGTCCTAGACTGGGGCAGATGGGTGACCTGTGCACCAGAGGTTTCTACAAAAGACGGCAGGAGCAGCAATATTTTATGCTTTTCCAAATTATAAGGAAACTTGGAGTTGGAACTAGTGTTGTGACATTCTTTTACTATTCTTTAGAAATTTAGCCCTTGGGATATTTTAATGGTTTTCCTGAACCTTATGATCAGAAAGGGTTGTGACAGCACTTAAACTTTATGGCTAGAAGTGGCATCAGTTAGATTGGCAGATGGCCAATTTCCTTCTGGGAGAGAAAAGGCAAAATTGAGGGACATTACTATGGGTAATCCAGAAGTTCTATGTTTAATTTTTGGAGGAATTTCCATACTATTTTGCATGACTGTGCTAATACATATCCCCGACAGTGTTGTGTAACTGTTACCTTTTCTTTGCATCCTTTCCAGACGTAAGTTTCTTCTTCTTCTTCTTTTTTAGTACAAGCCATTCTAACAAAAGTTGGATCTCTTTTTTATATCAGCCATTCTAACCTGTGGTATCTTATTGTGGTTTGAGCTTGTATTATCTAATGACCTTGATGGTTCAGCATTTTTTATGTATATATTAAACATTTGTATATATCATTTGAAGAAATGTCTTTTCTTAGGTTTTTGACCATTTTAAGAAAAATCAGGTTCTGTATTCTTGTTGAGTTTTAGAATTTCTAATATTATAGCGAATAAGCTGTTAGCAGACTAAGGTTTATGAAGCCAGTCTTGCATTCTTTATGTTGTCTCTTCACTTTGTTTTCTTTGTGTGTTTTTTTTCTTTTTTCTTTTATTTTTATCTTCTTGCTTCACTTTGTTAATTTTTATTTTTGTTGGGAGAGGCTTTTGACTTTTGCTGTAAAGTCACTTTGCTATTTTTGTTTATAACTGGCTGTACTTGTGGTGTCATATCCAAAAAATCATTGCCCAGGACAAGTTATGGAACATCCTCCCTACATTTCTTTTCAATACCTTTTCTGTGTCAGGTCTTATATTTAAGTCTTTAATCCATTTTGATGATTTGTTTATGGTTTTGGTATATGGTATATTATAGTGGTTTAATTTCATTCTTTTGCATGTGAATATCCTAGCTTTCCTGATGTCATTTATTGCAGAAATTTTTCTCTGCTGTGTGTTCTTGGTACTTTTGTGAAAAACAAAAACAAAACAAAACAAAAAACGCCACTTGACTGTAAATGCATGTTTTTTTCCCACAGAAACCCGGCGTTTTCTATCATGGTTCATTGATAGATGTGTCATTTTGTATTCCAGTATGATGCTGTTTAGATTATCATTGTTTTATAAATATATTTTAATATTAATGGGTATGAGATATATAGTTTTTTTTTAACTCAAGGTTGTTTTATATATTCAGGGTTTAATTTGTTGCTATTCCATAAAATATGAGGATTTTAAATTTTTCTAAAAATGACATTGGAATTTTTAAAGGGATTGCAATGAGTTAGTTGATCACTTTGGGTAGCTTGGACATTTTTGCAATACCATTTCTTTTAGAATGTGAATAAGGAGTATGTTTCCATGTATTTGTATTTGATTACTTTGATTCATACCTTAGTATCTTTAGTATATGGATTTTTTATAACTATCTTATAGGCTAAATTTATACTGAACTTTAATTTATGTTGATTTTTACTTTATGCAATTATTTTTAACTTCTTTTATAGTATGGAGTATTATACATTGATTTTGTGTGTTCTAGATCTACTGAGTTTGTTCGTTGTAACTTGTGATAAAGTATTTAAGGCTTTTACGTACATAAGAAATGTCATCATGATGGATGTGTGGAAAAGCATTGCTTTCCCAGGGGTTTCACAGGGAGCTGGAACAGAGTTGAGCAGCCAGGACATGAACTGGTGTTCATCCTTGGTGCTGACGCTGCCTGAGGTGACTTACCACACCACAGTGCCAGTCCCAAGGCTGTTGCATTTTGTCAAATGGCTTTTTTCTGCATGTGATTTAACTTACAAAAGAAGTTTCAGATGGAACTTTTAGACAATATCTTGCATAAAATATATCTTTAGACAGAGATTTTATGTTGTGGCTTATTATTAGCTGGATTCAAGTAAACATAGTGGGTTAAACACATGTTTCTTAAAGCTTACCAATTTCAACTTCTGATTTTGATACAAATCGGATGCATGAGATAACGACACTCTAGTTCCATTCTTGTGTCTACTTCACGTTTTCTCATTCTTAAGTGACAAATCGTCAAGTGATAGTTGATCTCCTCACCAGAGTACATTTGCATTGCAGTTTTGTTTCCATAATTAATTGAAAAATGAAATGGCATAATAAGATGTTTATGAATCATTATCGTATAAATTTGGACACCAGTGGTTTGTATTTATCTTGCTGTTACAAATTAGATTTTGATATGGATAGTAAGACATGGTTTCTCATACTTTCAAAACCCACACAATTTGTTGAAATCATTGGTGTAGAAAGAG